CATGGACCAGTTTTTCAGCATCACTTTGAGACAGGATGCTTCTGATTTTTTTTGATATTGTGCAGGTGAAAGGAGGCGGTTCTAGAGACTTGGTTTATTTGTAATATAAAGGACATATCCTGGTCAAAGATGAGTCCGAGGTTCCTCACAGCAGTACTGGAGGCAAGAGCTATGTCATCTAGAATATCTTATATGGTTAGCCAGCAGATTTATGGTATGTGGTAGTTTATAACAGTATTATTTAATGCTAAAATGATTAGTCAATAACTTGATCACTTGACGTAAGTCAACAGAAATGATGACATGGCAACAGTCGGTGGCACCTACAGCTGTAATCCTGTACGCAATGTGCTCACTTTTTTTTTTTTTTTTTTTTATGTTTCTGCTCAAGTTTTATGCCACTGCATCTGGCATAAAACTCTATTGTACAATAGAGAAATATAGTTTCACATTTATGGCCTGAGAGGCTGTTTAATGTGATATCACACACCCAGTTTCTACTTCCTAACATGAGTCCTGCAGCTTGGAGTGACTGACAGCAGCCGTACACTGACATTACCTGCTGTCAATAATGCCTATAACAACATCAGGACATGTGCAGGGTATTTATTTATTAATCAATTGATCATGGTTCATGAGCTACATTCATGTGTTATTTTGTTGTCTTATTGCACATGGATTTAAGTGTCAGATCAGTGATTCTCAAGGACCGGCTGGAGCATACCTCCTAAGAGCACTGCTGGTCATTGTGTGGAAAGTTGTTATGGAAGGGTGTTGATGACAGAGAGGCTGCTGAACTGAATGAGCTACGGAGGTGCTGTTTAAAGACAACGTGCATGCTGCGCTCACTCCACGCTGTGCAGGGCTCACATTATTGCAAGATTATACAGCATGTTATAATGACAAAATAGCCTACAATATGTTGTAATAACCTGAAAAATAAGTTTTAACAAACATCTCATAAATTGAGCAAAAGTGTCTTGTTATAATGAGACAAGTTTCTCATTAAAACAAGATTTACCCTGCCACAGGTATTTATTGTGCATAGGATGAAATATAATCCTGCAGGCGTCACTGCCAACACTTATTAATCTATTAATCATGTCAGTCATTTTTCAAGCAAAAATACCAAACATTCACAGTCCTGCTCTTGCCTTGTGATAATTTACTGCTTTTCTGTTTTACATCATTGTAAAATGAATATCTTTGTAAGTGTCAGATGTCTCAGTAATGAAAATAATGAATTGCGTTTTGCAATATTTATATTCCTCTTTTTTGTCCTTGTGAACCCATTGCTGTTCTGTCACCCTGGGATTGGAATTTGCTGTTTTAGAGCACTGGTAGTTGTTCAAGGGTTTTTCCTAGACAATGTGTCCTTTGTAATTCTGAGTTGAACCTGGAATTTTATATTTTTGTTCAACCACTAGGCAGTCACTCATTTCCACTTGTAGGTAATTTAAATGCCAACTCCCATTTAATTCAGTTAATGTCATCATTTCAAAGTTATGGAGTTTAATAGCACTTTAAGAATTTTATATTTTATTATGATTAAGAAGGTTTACAAGACATATGCACAGATGAGGATTTCCATATGTTGGATACAATGACACTGTCTCCTCTGTTCTTTGCGCTCTTCATTTTCCATATGCGCCCACCTTACCTCATCTCTGTTTCCTCTCTTTTTATTCTCTGGCTGTCTTTCCTATCACTTCACATCTTTCTTCCCCACCCTGCCTATCTGGTCATCTCTCTTTCTATAGAGAACCTTGTGAAGTATGTGACCACAATGGTGTGTGTGGCTGTAGATGGTAAACCAGTCATTGGGGTCATACATCAGCCATTCACTGGGTTCACTGGTAAGTATGTATGCTCCTACAACTTGATTTTTGCATGTTAAATGAGATGCCTCCCTTTTATTATTGCATGTTTAGTCTATTGTCATCACTTAAGATATAACATCAAACTGTAATTTTTCTCTCATCTATGACAGTCAAGGTTAGTTGTATTTTCTAAAAGACATCAGAAGAAAGCATTCCAGGTTTCTGTTGAAACATAACATTGACAAAATATTTTGTGTTGAGCTTCCTGGGGGGTGACAGTGGTGCAGTGGGTAGAGCAGTTGTCTTCCAACCGGAAGGTTGAAGGTTCAAATCTCGGTGCCTGCAGCCCACATGTCAAAGTGTCCTTGGGCAAGACACTGAACCCCCCTGTTGCCCCCAATGGTTAGAGCCATCGGTTGAGTTGGTGCCGCAGATGGCTGCCTTGGTTCTGTACCGGAAACAAATTCCTTGTGTGTAACATACTTGGCCAAGAAAGGTGATTATCCTTATCCTTCCTCCTCCTCTCTAATCCTCCTTTCCCTTTGTCTCTCTCTCTTCCTCTCATCTCTTCCTCAGCCTGGGCATTTGTGGGTGTGGGATCAAATATGCGTCCCCGCTCATCATACAGTGTTAGCCCTCCAAAAGTGATTGTGTCACGTTCCCATTCTGGAAAAGTTAAAAGTTTTGTTCATGATGCTTTTGGAAACAGCACAACAATTGTAGAAGCAGGTGGAGCAGGTCAGTAGAGAATTCTTTTACATTTATCTATTATAAAGTGTTGCATGTGCAGATGAAGCTCTACTTTTTCTTAAGTGTTGTGATAGTGTATTTAGCATTTATATCCATCAATTGTCATCACACTCGCCAGTTTTTTAGCCCGCTAGCTAGGTATCATAACATCCCTGTTGTATCTACTGTAAACAGATGCTCATTCTCTCTCTCTCTCTCTCTCTCTCAGGATATAAGGTTTTGTCACTCTTGGAGATGCCTGCAGATACTATAGACCAGGCAGATGTTTACATTCACATCAGGTTCATTAAGAAATGGGACATTTGTGCTGGTGCAGCACTACTCAATCATATGGGTAATGTAACAACTACTATTTTCCATTGTTTAGTTTCCTTTTCAGTCTCAAGGTTGATTCTGATTTTTCTGCTGATTAAATTGCCTATTTTTGTTCATTATAAAACATTGTACTACATTTAGCACCTTATGCAGACAATAGCCCTTTTATGTTGGACCCCATCACTCTTAGTAAGAAGGTGATGGAAAAATTGCTATCTATAATCTTTCTATGAAGTGTTTGTACAGCATTGACATTTCTTAGAAAAATAAGATATGTCTTATACTCCGTGCATCATCCACACAAACAGATATGCTAAAATGCAGCAGTATATCAGTGATACTTTAAAATAGAATAATAAACCCTACTGTATTTATTCATTTTTTATGAATGTGTCTGTCATCTCTAGTTATTTTTAATGTGTGGAGTGCACTGTACCAATAATGTATAATCCCTGTGATTGTAGGAGGCCACATGACAACCCTAAAGGGAGAGGACATTGACTACAGTGGAACACCAATTAACAAAGGAGGACTGGTGGTCAGTGTGGGTGTGGACCATAAAGCCATGCTGGAGAGATTACCAAACTGGGACCCTGAGAAGCACTGAAAAACACAAACACAGAGTCAGTGGTAAGATGGAGCTAATGTACCCACACTGAAGGAAGGTGTGCTCAACTGGGCACAACATACAGAGACTCATAAACAATAGGCAAGCAAAGGCACTTCCAAGAAGCAAGAGCACAGTTGACAGGTACACAGCACAGAACGCTTTTGCTTGCCTATTGCTTATGAGGCATAGTAATTGTTATTGTGGTTAGGGCAACATGTGGCACCCCTTTTTTATAAGTAAGAGTGGGTTATAAGCATTACCAGGCCTGCACAGTTTCATCATCATGGGACACCAAACATCTACCAGTCAGATGGATTGGACTCAGTGTAGCTGCCACTGGAATCTGCAGTGGCTGACACAGTGGCTCTCACTGCACACTCCCCTACATGTATAAACAGATATTTGCAGCTAGAAATTGTACAGTAAATCTTTCTCTTCCAGTGCATACACATGCTCATGATGAACACTGGACAACAGTTGCCATCGTTGGATCCCCTCCATTCATCTTCAGAGGGCAGCAGGATGACTGTAAAGTGAAATGATAAACTGATGAGCACAATACTGAACATTACAAGAAATCCTGTCTAGTTACTGACTTACATCATCTTCATTCCCATCTTTTTCACATGGTATTTATACAATCAGTTTAGCTCAATTACTGAAACAACCACATATTATTTGAGACTGGACTGAGACTCGCTCTGAGAGGGAACAAAAAGGCTCTGTATCCTAAACAGCCACTGGGTTATTGGCCACTAGGAGCTACTTCAACAACAAATCCTATAATAACCAACGTGTTACCCCACAACAATTCATTTTACCCGGTCTGCTTTTGCATAGTCATCTAGTGTGGCAAAGAGAGAGAGAATTTGCCTTTGGATTGACAGTGAACACTGACAGTGGGGCATCAGCTCCATGGCACTTTCTGGTGTCATTTATTGTAGTTGCTAGTCTCTTAAACTCTGGGTCAGGACTCAAGTGGTACATGTATATTTTAAAGAGACTTGAGAGTCAGTGTATTTGCATTGAATTGGTCGTTGCTTTAAAATGGTTAATTTAATTTCTGTTTGAATGTGAGTTTGAGGTAGTGTTTGCAAAAAGATGAAGCACTAAAATTTTGTAAAATAATTAATAAGAATACATTTTTACAGATTACATTAGTTCCCAGGGCATGCCTAGGCCCAGAGAGGATCAGATTTGCTAAGTTACTAGTTTTGCCCAAATATGTGGTAGCCAAACAGGAAAAATGTTTTATTAGAATTTCAAAAGCATTAAATGGTAAAATGTAAAAAGTTATTTATTTTCCCAGTTTACTAGGGACGGCATAATGTTTTTCTCAGTATAATTCAATAGAAGATATAGGGTTTATAAATCTATTGAATCACTACATATAAATTCAGTGACAACAGTGTATGACTGCAGAATACTTAAAACCTAGTTAGACAATACTGGTATGACTCCTTCCTGTCCAAACCTTTTGTGCAACTAAGGTATTGGGTGCTATCACAACCTGCAAAATATAACCCACAGAAATTACATCCTGCTATTTTGTCAGTTTTAGATTAGCAGTAGACTGAACTGCACTGACTGTGTTGAAGTACATATGTACTTGCATGGTTTTATTATCTAACACTTTTCACCAAAATGAAAATGTCTTTGGCTCAATCAGCATCTGTTTCTGGGGACTGCTGTAGTTTATATGCTGTTTGCTGTTAGTAAGTGTTTAAAGTTTTACATCCAGTACTTTCATTTTGTGCAACAGACGCTGACCTGAAGTTTGAATTTTACATTTGCTGAATGTTTGTTAAATGAAGAAAAAATGCTTTCATGTCATTTTCTTGGAGATGCAAGTGACTTGTATTATGTTCCGTTTGTTTCATCACCCTTTGTGTTGTTAAACTTGTATGAGTTAAAAAATGGGTCTAGAGGGTTACAAGTTAAAAGTTCTTATACTGTATGTTCTGCCACAAACGTAAGATAAAAATAGATGATTATCATAAACTTTTGTAAAGTTAAAGGCCTATCTGGATGATGATGATGGTGGTGGTGATATCAAAAAGGAGACAGCTGGACTCAAAGAGACAAGAGACACCTGCTGTCAGTCCTACACCTGTTGGACTCTCACTTGATTCATTTCAGTTTTATGATTTCATTGATCTGCACAGGACAACATTGTTGATGGGTGACGAAGAGGTGCATCCCAGTTCTCTTAACTGATCATTCCTTACTTCTCAACCCTTTCTTGACCCAGAAGTTGTACCGCTGCACCATCTTCTAGGATGTTTCAGTTCTCTTGCTGATGTTGGGAGGAGTGAGGAGGCTGCTTAGACAAGACATGAGTGAGAGACCATCCTTTGTGGAAGTCTTTTATGGACTGACGCACCTGTTTATCACTTAGTGATTGTATGCTTCAGGTTAGGGAGTGGAGGAAAGGATATCTCATGTCTCAAGATATTTTTGGTTTCTTTTTCCATGCATGTGTGAGGGACTTGGATGCAAGGAAAAGACAAGTGAGGGAAATGTGGATACAGGTAAAGGAATTGAGATGTACCCTTTGTTGTCCTCAGCACTCAGCATGACTTTTGTAAATGCTGCTATGCTAACACTGATTGATATGCAAGGCTATAGCAATGGAACTAGTACTGTATTACAGTGACATGGTCATCACACGGGTCATATTGTTTGAATGGACATTTGAAAACAATACACTTCCTTAACTTGGGTTTTGGCTAACTGTGTAATGAATTTAAAAAAATGTTTGAGTAAGAAATAATGATTAAAGGGGTACTCCTGTGATTTTTTTGTGTGTCAAAGTCTGTTGACAGGTGTTGGGACGTTCTACTGCATATGTGAAAACAAAGTTGCGTAAAAGCTTTTATTCCTCCAGAAGGAGCTACAGTATTGTTCAAAATAATAGCAGTACAATGTGACTAACCAGAATAATCCAGGTTTTTAGTATATTTTTTATTGCTACATGGCAAACAAGTTACCAGTAGGTGCAGTAGATTCTCAGAAAGCAAACAAGACCCAGCATTCATGATATGCACGCTCTTAAGGCTGTGAAATTGGGCAATTAGTTGAAAGGGGTGTGTTCAAAAAAATAGCAGTGTCTGCCGTTGACTGTACAAACACAAAACTATGTTGTACAAACGTTTTTGTTTCTAGGATTTAGCAATCCTGTGAATCACTAAACTAATATTTAGTTGTATGACCACAGTTTGTTATAACTGCTTCACATCTGTGTGGCATGGAGTCAACCAACTTGTGGCACCTTTCAGCTGTTATTACACTCCATGATTCTTTAACAACATTCCACAATTCATTTACATTTCTTGGTTTTGCTTCAGAAACAGCATTTTTGATATCACCCCACAAGTTCTCGATTGGATTAAGGTCCGGGGATTGGGCTGGCCACTCCATAACATTAATTTTGTTGGTTTGGAACCAAGACTTTGCTCGTTTACTAGTGTGTTTGGGGTCATTGTCTTGTTGAAACAACCATTTCAAGGGCATGTCCTCTTCAGCATAAGGCAACATGACCTCTTCAAGTATTTTGACATATGCAAACTGATCCATGATCCCTGGTATGCGATAAATAGGCCCAACACCATAGTAGGAGAAACATGCCCATATCATGATGCTTGCACCACCATGCTTCACTGTCTTCACTGTGTACTGTGGCTTGAATTCAGAGTTTGGGGGTCGTCTCACAAACTGTCTGTGGCCCTTGGACCCAAAAAGAACAATTTTACTCTCATCAGTCCACAAAATGTTCCTCCATTTCTCTTTAGGCCAGTTGATGTGTTCTTTGGCAAATTGTAACCTCTTCTGCACGTGCCTTTTTTTTAACAGAGGGACTTTGCGGGGGATTCTTGAAAATAGATTAGCTTCACACAGACGTCTTCTAACTGTCACAGTACTTACAGGTAACTCCAGACTGTCTTTGATCATCCTGGAGCTGATCATTGGCTGGGCCTTTGCCATTCTGGTTATTCTTCGATCCATTTTGATGGTTGTCTTCCGTTTTCTTCCACGTCTCTCTGGTTTTGCTCTCCATTTTAAGGCATTGGAGATCATTTTAGCTGAACAGCCTATAATTTTTTGCACCTCTTTATAGGTTTTCCCCTCTCCAATCAACTTTTTAATCAAAGTACGCTGTTCTTCTGAACAATGTCTTGAACGACCCATTTTCCTCAGGCTTTCAAATGCATGTTCAACAAGTGCTGGCTTCATCCTTAAATAGGGGCCACCTGATTCACACCTGTTATTTCACAAAATTGATGACCTCACTGATTGAATGCCACACTGCTATTTTTTTAACACACCCCTTTCAACTAATTGCCCAATTGCACAGCCTTAAGAGCGTGCATATCATGAATGCTGGGTCTTGTTTGCTTTCTGAGAATCTACTGCACCTACTGGTAACTTGTTTGCCATGTAGCAATAAAAAATATACTAAAAACCTGGATTATTCTGGTTAGTCACATTGTACTGCTATTATTGTGAGCAATACTGTAGGTTGTGCTGCTTGTTGTGTGAGTGGTGTTGTTTTACCTGGATTGTTAGTTGCACAAATCATACATGACTGACAATATTTCTGAGCATAGGTAGAGAACCCTTTTGTGAACCAGTGCTGTGTTATGATGCCTAATATTCCCCCTTTGGACACATGGTCAAGACTGTGTGCGAGTTTGGTGTAGTGATGAAAGAAGTGTTTCGGCAGGCAGGGGTTGCCGTCAGGGCCCCACCAGATGTTATCTGTAACAGCAGCTCCACAGGAGCACCATAGCTGTTTCTCTGGAGGAGTAGCAAAAGACTGTAGTGCAAGGAGAGATCTGGGTACAGACACAGGAGTACAAACAAACAAGGCATGTGTAGGTGGAGGAGAGAGTGCTGCCTCCTTTGCAGCTGCATCTGCTTGGGAGTTACCTTGAGAGACAGAATCG